AGGGAGACAAAGTCATAGTAAAGCTTCTACTCTCCTTTATTTCACTCTTGAAGGAATAAATGGACTTGTTAGAAATCCCCTAATAAGCACGATTTTTACTTTTGAAAGAGCTTATGGGTATATTGCCTGAAGAAGAGATGATACATATGCTAAAAGTGCCCATACTTACATAAGGGGGTACAGTAAGAATCTAAATTTGTAGTTGCATAAGCAAATGCTGGAAAGATACCCAAGAAACTAGTAAGAGTGCTTTCTTGTGGCAAGGATGGGGACAGTGGGTGGATGTGCCTAGCGGTAGGAGCAAGACTTGTATAATTTTTTCTATCACTTTGCCTTTTGAATCATGAGAATGCTACCTATTAAATAATAGCGTTAAATGCAAATATATTCTATAGAAAGATCAAACAAGCAATGGACCCACAGTTTTGCTTCTGAGTAGGCTACATTTGGGGAGAATAGAGTGCAGTACACTGCTCCCACGTAATCTAAAGATGACGTAGGGAGAGGGGGTATGCAGACACTTGCAAGGCCCTTTTCAAGGTCATCCTGAAAGCCTTGGGCAGAACTGGTACCAAGTTCTCCATACCCTTGTCTGCTGGCCACAGATGGTGTTGGACCCTCTGTGAAATGGTAGATGAGCTACACTCTCATTTAATGAGGGTGAGAGACTCAAGTCATCAAGTTGGTTTGTTCCCATTTTTATCGTTCTATGTACCTCACAATAACCAGCATGATTTTATTACAATACAAACTTGAGCATGTTGCTTGAACGCCCCCAATGACTGTCCATCCTTAGGATGAGGTCCAAATCCCTCAGCATTTATGGTTCTTACGATGGTGTTCACTGACCCCTCACCTCACCTACCACCTCCTACCTCCTTTCAATGCATCATATTCTCCACCTTACACATGTCAGAGTTTTCGTGCCTCTATGGACCTGCTCGTGCTGCTGCCTCTGCCTGGAATGCCTTTCCCCTTTCCTCCATCTGGCGAATTCCTACTGATCCTTTAAGATCAAATGCTGCTTTCTCTGCTAAGACGTGGCCTTTGCTCAGGCCTAGCCCAGCCGCTTCCTGGTGCACAGCCTACCTTTTGTCTGGGCTCCCACAGCGCTCTGAATGTTCCTCTAGTACAGTACTTCCCACTTTACGCAGTAACTTTACAGTCAATGATCAGTTTCTGCGTCTGTTTCTCAGAAACTGTGAATTCCTGCAGGGCAGGGTCTCTGGTTTTCCCCTCTGTACTACAGTGGTGGACACAGAACTTGATGTTTGCTGAACAGCATGACACCAGCACCAGGCGGCACCTTCTGTGTGTCTGCCTCCATTCCAAGCATCCACACGTAATTCATCCAATCCTCACCATCACCCTAGCAAGTGGGTACTAGGTGTTATCACAATTCTTACAGATGAGGGAACTGAGGCACCGTGACACAAACAACAAGGCTAGTAAGTGGCATAGCCAGATTCTGAATCGAGGGAGTCTGCCTTCAGGGCCCATGCTTTTAAACACTATGTAATAATGCCTATAAGTAAATGATTGGATTAAATAACTAGAAATCAAACTCCCCTCCCTAAGGCAAAGGTCTTCCAGGTTTCAATTTCTAAAATCCTAAGAACAGCAGCCACACTGGGGATCTGGGCTAGAACAAAAGAGCTTGCTCTCTAGTTACTTTTACACGCTGACCAAGCACCAGAAAATCTACTCAAAGTTTCCCATACCCACCCCAGGGCCACCCTGCATCCTTCCCATTACAAGGGAACTTGAGATTTTGAGGTTTCTCCACGATGATCTAGCTCCAAACACAACGTACATGGAAAGAGGAAAGATTTACCACCAACCAACTCTCCACGCCAGTGGTCAGTGGTTTCTGCCTATGCTCTTCAGAATTCTTTCTTGGAACTGGACTGAAAGATCTGTTTGGGCATGAAGGCTGGTCTGGGGCCCCTGTACTGCTCAACTGGTGATGGCTGCGCCTCCTCCAGCATGAGGCTGGGCCTGTCAGCCATTGTTGCCTGACAGGCCCAGATAAGTGACATGGATAGATGGTCCAAAATGCTTCCCCCGGGACCTGTATTTCTACTGTCTTCTCCAAACCTGCTCAGAGCTGTTCTCAGGGAAGAACAGTTGGACCTTGTCGGTGAGACTGCTGGGGAGCAATCAGAGTATGAGGAAAAACCAACACCCCTAGGGTAACTGAGAGACGGAAGAATGAGTCTCCAAGGGAGAATGTAGTGGAAAGAGACACAGGTTTGAAGACAAAGGCCTGAAGCTGGAGGCTTGGCTCTGCCATTCCCTAACTTAGAGACTTGGAATAAGTATTTACCGTATTTCAGTCACATCTGCAAAAGAGGTTAACAGCTTCCTCATGTGCTGCGAGGAACAAATGAAATATTATATACAAAAGGGCTCTGTAATCTAAACAGTGGTTTCTAAGCCTGGTTAATTGTCAGAATCGCCAAAGAATTTTTTTTTTTTAATTACAGATTTTTGGATCCTTCTCAAACCTACTGAGTTAGAATGTCTAGAGGAAGGGTCCAGGAATTTATTTTCAAAAACTCTCTGGGAGCGTCTGAAGCCAGATGCAATTCTAAAGTGCTGTACAAAGGTTGACATTGGTATAAATCTGTGGTCCTAGAAATAGCAAGTCTGAGTATTATGACTAAAGATACCCACTAGAGTTGCTTGACTTATGTGGAAGATTTCTAAGGGATGTGACTTCACTATGGATGTCCAGAGAAGGCTACTGTCTACCAAGTTGGAGCTGAGATACCCATGAACTAAGGGAGGGCAGCTCTCCATGGAGGGATAGACGGTTCTTTCTGCCACTGAGCATTCTCCTAGGGAAAGAATGGTCCCAAAATACACAGAGACACACAGACATTTCCTTTGTCTCTCTCTGAACCTGGAGGAAGAGGGAGAGCCATAAGCAGGATACTGCAAGCTAGAAATGGACTCCCACAATAAAGGGCAGTCATCAAGGGTTTAAGACAGGGGGGCTGGCCCCGTGGCCGAGTGGTTAAGTTCGTGTGCTCCGCAGCAGGCGGCCCAGTGTTTCGTTGGTTCAAATCCTGGGCACGGACATGGCACTGCTCATCAAACCACGCTGAGGCAGCGTCCCACATGCCACAACTAGAAGGACCCACAACGAAGAATATACAACTATGTAC